GCTGCCTGTCTTAGGCGGTCAGTGTGAATTCCTCAGTCTTACCCGTCATCGAAACTCAATGCAGCATGGCAATGGCTCTGTCTTAGGTTGCCCTGGCTTTGTTTTGACTGATGATATTTAGTATCTCAACATATCTTTCAACATATGTGGTCAGTTTGATTCCTGTGTATTCCGTCTGTGAGGTCTACGTGTACTTCTGAGGTCTATGTCTACCTTTTGTGCTGTTGAAAAAGTTATTTGCAATGAGGAATCAATGGCATCGCAAAATTCTTTCATGAGATTTCCAGTATTGTTTCTATCACTAAGGCTGTATTTTTCAACTACTGATCCTTCCTGGTTCCAACTTTCACATTCCAATCACTGGTAATTCTTAATACATCTTGAGTGCATATTTGATCAGTTTCAAATGGAAAAAGTTGGTAGAATTCTTTAATTTCATCATCATTTACTTCAGTGGTTGGTATGTAAATTTGAATAATAGTGGTATTAACTGGTTTTCCTTGGAGGTGTATGGATATCACAGTCAAGCATTGGACTTCAAGTGGATCTTGAAATGCCCTTTTTGATGATGAATGTTGCACCATCCCTCTTCAATTTGGAGTTACCTGCATAATAAATTATATGACAGTCAGATTCAAAATGGCCAATACCAGTATATTTTATCTCATTAATACCCAGGAGCTGAAGCATTGGAAGAAATAAAACCAAAGTTTTTATTAGAAGCCAGGATGATGAGACTTCATGTTTCATTCTTCAGATAGGAGGGACAAGTCTGTGGAGAAGGACAGCATGCTTGATAAAGTGGAGGGTCAGTGAAAAAGTGGAAGACCACCAATGAGATGGATTGACACAGTGGCAGCAGCAATGAACTCAAAAATAACAATTGTGAGGATGGTACAGGACCAGGCAATGCTTCGTTTTGTTGTGCATAGAGTTGCTAGGAGTCGGAACTGACTTGATGACATCTTAACAACAACAAGAAGTGCATAGTATATCGATCTTTATGCATTCCATTTTATTTTTGATTATTCCAATTTTCCTATATTCGTACTTTGTACATTCTATGTTCTGATTACTAATGGATTTTTGCAGCTGTTTCTTCTTATTTTGACTTGCGTTCCATCTGCAAATGAAGGTCCTGAAAACTTTGCTCTATTCACATCATTGTTGTTATGTGCCCTTGAGTTGACACCAACTCATAAGCGACCCTATGCACAACAGAATGAAGCATTGTCTGGTCCTGGGCCAACTTCACAATTGTTTCTATGCCTGAGCCCATTGTTGTTGCCACTGTGCCAGTCCATTTTGTTGGGAGTCTTCCTCTTTTCCTCAGACCCTCCAGTTTACCAAACACGATATACCATGTATGAGAGACAAAGTCTGGACATCCGGGCTTCCAAGGAACATTTTGACTGTACTTCTTCCAACACAGATCTGTTTATTATTTTGGCAATCCATACTTCAGTTTCTCCTCCAGCACCATAGCTCAAATGCATCAGTATTTACTGTTCATATCATTATGACGAACTCTGATTTAAGGAAGCAGATCTTCCCTAATCGTATCTTGAGTGCCTTCCAACCTAAGGAGTTCATTGTCTGGCAGTATATATGACAATGTTTTACTGCTATTCATAGCATTTTAGGTGGCTAACCATTTAAAGTACTCTGACTCTCCTTCCTAGTCTCTCTGATTTGCTTAACCCTCTTCTCTCTGAGTGACCTTGCTGGTGTTTAAAATGCTGGTGACATAGGCTCCAGCATCACAGAATCAAAAAAGCCACGACAATAGGACAAACTGACAGACTAGTGGTAGTAGAGAATTTCTAGTCCTTCATAAATCCTGTTTCTAGTGGCCTACTGACCCTTTTGTGAACTCCACCTGAATTCTGCGTTTCTTGCCCTGTGGACTTATTGGCATATGCATGATCCACATGAGTAAGCAATCTTAGACTGCATTGCTGGAATATACCTGACAGAAAATTGCTTCTAAACCTTAAAACAAATATCTATTATCCATGTGTTTGGTAGCCCCTAAATATGAAGCCATTTGAGCAAATAAGAGAGGGTATCATATGATTGAATGTTCTCTTACTTCTTAAAGATTAATAGGAAGTTTTGTGGTTCATGAAGTGCATAATGTGACTTCTTTAAAAGGCATGAACTTATTATGTTCGTGTGACTGGTCACATAGATCCATTGGAATCTTAATGATCCATGAGATAAATTGTTCATTTTTAGAGGTGCATCTACATTACAAAAACCCCAGCACTTTCAAGAGGGCACTGCACTGTTGTGCTTTTGAAAGTACTTGAATCACACAGTGCTGAAACTAGGACCAATGTTGATAACTCATAAACACCCACATTGTAGTAAGAAGAAGACATTTGAAGTTATGGAGAAGAAAGAAATACACACTTTTCCAAATTGGCTTATTTAAAGTCACATAGACATTTTTTAAGTTGTGGCATTAGTATTTTAGCTAGTAAAATGGAAGAAATTTAAGTTCTGGAAATTTGTCTCTTCTGAGAAAGGATTAGCATTTATTTACTGTATTGAAAAATTTTAAACAGCTTTCTTAATACAAATGATTTTAAGGGAATAGTAGATATCAACAAAGAAATTAATAATTTATTATTTAATCTTTAACTTCAGTTCTTTTGAATACTAACTTTAAGAAATCTATCATATTTGCATGAGCAGTAAGTAAATAGATGAATAAGTCCCATTAAGATTATTGATCCATTTGATTTAATTTTATCTCATTTTCAGTTTCACTTGAGGGAAAGTGAGGATTAATTAAATTTCTGAGTTGTTGCTTAGATTTTTGTTAGAATAAAATGATAGTGAGCAATTTTTAAAATAAACTAAATAAAAAAGTAAGTTTTAGATCTCTGGTAATTATTACCTTGATATTGTTGTTGTTGTTAAGTGCTGTCAAGTTGGTTGCAACTCATAGCAACTCTGCATAGGGTTTCTGAGGAGCAACTGGGTGGATTTGAACTGCCAACCTTGTGGTTCACAGTCCAGTGCTGATACACAGCACCACACCAGAAGGTAAAGAAGAAAAGGTAAGCATAAGTAGTTTCAAAGAGCCATAGGATAAAAAGAGATTGCAATTTAAAAACTTATTCTCTAATCATACATTTGAGTTATATGGCTTAATATTTGATGTATTATGTATGTCTTAGTCATTTAATGTCTAACTCTTCTCATTGTGTATTCATAGAAACAAACTAATGGCAATATATAGACATATTTTATGGATAAAATCTTCGTATTTTAATTTTTTTCCTTTAGGGATGCCCTCTGCATCTTTATTAGTAAATCTTCTTTCAGCTTTATTCATGTCGTTTGTATTTGGAGAAACAGAAGTAAGATTTGCAGGAGAAACAGACTTTGTTGTTAATGAAACAGATACAACAGTTATTCGTCTTGTTATCGAAAGGATAGGAGATCCAGCAAATGCCACTGCAATTGTATCGGTAAGAAATAATCACCACTGTGTTCTTACTGAAATACATATGAGCTTTCTTAATGATTATTTTTTTGTGTGTGTTTGATATTCTGAGTAGCTTCATTATAATGAATAAGTTGCAGATACGCTGTTCCATTCATGTCTCTTACAGGTTTGTAGAGTGTTTCAAGATACCTGTGTACATTTGACAACACTGTCTTAAAAATAAAATGATCATTTTAAAGTGTTTAGATATTTATTTTAAAGCAAATTTAAAAGAAAAATATCGACAAGCATTTTTAGATAAAAATATTTTATTATGGGTAATTTGGATTCTAGTTATCTTTGTTCCAGCATACATTCGAGGAGATCTGTGTGCATGCGTAGTAGAACCCTCCGAGGGTGGGGCTGGGCTGCCCACTAGCTCAGGCACCCCTATAGTCACCAGAATGGAGGTGTGCAGACAGCAAGGGACCAATGAACAGATACCAAAAGAGAAGAATGTCCACACCTTTATCTCAGCGGTTCTGCCAGGCGTCTGTGGCCGCTCCGATCCTTCCCCCACGTGGTCTCACCCAAGATGGCGGCTCCTGGAGCAGCCAAGCGTCCCGGACTAGAAAGCAATAGATTTCTTGCTTCTGCCACAAATTTCCCCAGCTGTGAGCCTTCCAACCTTCTAAGTATTCCTTTATATGTGGTTCAGAGTTCTGGGACCATCCCCTGAACCTGCTTGGTCAGATATTCTGTGTTGTTGTTGTTGGAGCTCTCTGCTACACGTCCACCCGATCCGCCATCTTGTTTGTTCTCTCAAGATTGTACCATTTTTTAATACTAAAGTTGGACAACACATTTTCCATCACCTTTGTCCTTGGATTTATTAAATATTTAAAACTTACTTAATTTCCAAAAGAATAATATATTTTTTTGTATTTTCATGAAAGTTGACCCAGCAAATTAGCTTCTCATTTAATAGTTACAACACAAATTGTGCAGAATCCTGGTGTGGCACTATGGTACTTAACAACAACAACACAAATTTTTCAGTATCATTGGTTATATTTTTCACAATGTATCAACACTGTCATTAATTCCATTTTGGATGTTTTGTTTTCTAGTACTGTGTTTTCCCTGTCCCGTTAGCCTTTCATCTTGGCTTTAGAGTAATTCTTGTTCATATGATCTCATATGAGGGGGCTTCAAAAAGTTTGTGGGAAAATGCAATGAAAACATAATGAATTTTTTTCATTAACTTTTTAATCCCCCTCTTATAGAGGATTTTTCAAAGGTATGTATAGTATTCATGGATATTGTTCTTTATTTTTTAACCCTAGTATGTTATTTAGCCAAAAGATGACCTTAAAGGCTAGTTTTGGTTCAAGATTTATGGGGATCTCAGTGTGATAGTTTTGGGGAATCTTCTAGTCTCAAGTGGAATAGTAAATCTGGACTTTTTGATTGCTTCTCCACATTTTTCTTCCCTATTAACAGAATCCACCTATTGTGACCCTGATCAGAATAGTTGTTAGTGGTAGCCACAGAGCATCTAGTTTTCATTTGAGGGTATTAGACTAATTTCTTCTTTGAGTCTTTATTTCCATTTTTTCTTTTGAATTGGATGAAAAGAGACCAATAGTTGTATCTTGTTGTTATTAAGTGCCATTGAGTGGTTCTGACTCATAACAATTCTGTGTAGCGTTTCTGAGGAGTGGCTGGTGAGTTTGAATCACTGTCCTTGAAGTTCAAACAAATCTTGTGGTCGATCCAGTGTTTATCCTACAGTGCCACACCAGGGCTCCAGAAAACTAGAAATTGACAAACATTTCCCTATGCAGGTCTTACGTTTTTTATTTATACTAAACCATGTTTTTCTAGAGCTCTGTATGGCACTGTAGGACAAGCACTGGACCACAAGGGTGGTTTGAACCACAAGGTCAGCGGTTCAATCTCACCAGCTGCTCCTCGGAAACCCTATGCAGGATCGCTATGAGCTAGACCCGACTCGATGGCACTTAACAACAACTTATTTTTCTAGTGGTTAATTGATACATTATGAGTTCTCTGGTGAAAGAAATTTCAGCTGGGTTTACACAAGAAGTTGTACAATTTCATAGTTATTACTTCACTGTGAATCATATCAGAAGCGCCTGATTTTACAAAATGAGGTAATTGAAAGTTATAGAAAACTTTGTAATTCTAAGATAATTGGGTCTTTCTTTGGGTTGTTATTGTTGTGTAGTGCCATTGAGTCAATGCTGACCCATAGCGGCCCTGTATAGGATTTCCAAGGAGCAGCTGGTGAGCTTGACCCACTAACCTTGCAGTTCAAATGACTTTGCAGTCTGATGCATTAGTCTACAGCGCCACACCAGGACTCAAACCCCACCCCAAACCATTGTTGTAGAGTCAATTCTGACTCATAGTGACCCTATAGGAGAGTAGACCTGCTCCTAAATTCTTAGTCCTCTTTAGTTTTCAAGAATGTACATCTTTATGGCATCAGACAGCTTCATCTTTTTCCCTTGGAGCAGCTGGTGAGTTTGAACCACTGACCTTTTCAAGTTGAAATTTTTGGAAAAGAAGTTTCTTTGAAATTGATAGAGAAATTAATTGATTTTTTTCTGAAACATTTTGTCAGTTATTTTCATCTCTTCTTTTAGTGAATTTCAGCTATAAGTTGTCTTCCTGTAAAGTTTACTAGAGACTACACCAGATCAATTAAGAGGCAGAGAGAAAAGAAAAAAATTCCATCGTTTCTTTTCTATATAATTATTCTTTTTTTTCCCCCTTCTAGAGCATAACCAAAAGCATTTCTTTTTGTAACAGTTTTTGGGAGATGAGTTTACTGGTTGTTAAATATTTGTGTTTTACATTTTTATACAAGCTATCTGTAAGTGTCAGGGCCACTTAATGATTCATGGTTTGTTTGTTTGTTTGTTTTTTCCTTTTGTGGTGTTGACTGTTCTAATGATCGTTTTTTTCTTGTCTGAACATGGTGTTTTGTAAGGACAATATTTTTTCTTTTCTTTTTTTGCATTTGATAGCTTTATGGTGAAAACACAGGGGATTTTTTGGACACATTTGCTGCAGCGTTTATACCAGCTGTAGAAACAAATAGGACCGTGTACATAGCAGTATGTGATGATGACTTACCAGAGCCTGATGAAACTTTCATTTTTCACTTAACATTACAGGTACGTCCTTTTTCCATTAACTTTAACCTCACAAAAGTCTTTCAAGACTTAAATAGTTTATTTCTTTAGAGATAAGCTAGTGTAGCTGACTGGTAGCGATTTTCATGAAAGCTAGAACTGACCATCTCTCTGGCAGTTCCACAGTTTGGTATTCCCCAGATTATCTTTCAGTTTTTTAAAGAACTGCATGACAAATGCTCAAGAAAGCCCTGTCTTCCCTTTGGCCCTTTTCACTTTTATCTCTCTGCTACCAGAGGCACAAAGAATGACCTTGAATTTTGAGTTCAAAAGAGAAGGATGATAAAGCCAGCTTGGAAGTAGGAGTTGCCTGTGCTTAGAATAAATTAGAGTACCCCTGAGAAGAACACTTGACTAGCCTGAAGTTTAATTACCCTTTAGGGCTTGATCACTGGTTTTGGTGATAACTGCTAACATTATTCTAGTTAAAACTTCTGAAAGACATAGAATGTTTTTTAGAATGATTATGCCAAAATGATTGAAATTTTCATGAAAATGATATTTGAAACAGTCATGCTTTACTTTTGTAAATATCTCTTTTTATTAAAAAACAAAACAACCATATACTCATTTATGCTAATGCTGAAATGTAACAGAAAATTCTCCTCACTTACATGAGAAAGTTGGCTTTATTTTTAATTTAATCTTATGATTTATAAAATAATTAACTTTCTTAAGTTCTGTAGTGAAAAAAAATATGTTGGAGTGGAATTTCATGATGAGTACTTAATTCTCTGTTATAATATTGGTGATGACAATATAATAATTGCAACATAACTATAGTAGTATTACAGTATTATTGACCAGTGATTGTTTTTAATATAATTACTAGTAGCCAGTTATTAATGGTTCTCAAATGTTTTTGAAGAATTCTTGTTTGGGGCTTTATACCATGTTAATTTAGTTTGAATATTTTCTTAATATAAACAGTAGAAGTATGCTTAAGTTTTTATTCCTATTTTAGATATTTACTCGGACAAATTATATTAAAATACTTATTTTTTCTTGTTATATTTAATTTATTATTTTATCTTTGGGCTTTTATTTTAGAACCCCTCAGCAAATGTGAAGCTTGGATGGCCAAGGACTGTCACTGTAACAATATTATCAAATGACAATGCCTTCGGAATTATTTCATTTAATATGGTAGGGATACAATTTGATTGATATTGTGACAACAGGTTATATATCTTCAGCTACAAAAGTTAATTTTATTTACTAATTAATAATTTGTATTTGAATATTAGGGAGGTATTAGTTAATTCTGGCATTGGTCTCAAGTCCCTGCCTGGTGAGATTTTTGTGCTATCAGTCAACCTCTGACTGGGCACCTGATCTACATGTTTAAAATGAAAATGAAACTAAATATCTATGGGTAAAAGGAGCTATCAGTGGACCACAAACAAAAGGTTGGTGGTTTGAACCCACCACAGACTCTGGGAGAAAGCCTGCTGATCTGCTTCTATAAAGATTGTTGTTGTTTTAAGTGCCTTACCGACCCTGGGTAGGGTTTCCAAGGAGCAGCTTGTGAGTTTGAACTGCCGACCTTGCAATTCAAACAACATTGTGACCCATAAAGATTACAGTGTAGAAAACCCTGTGGGGCAGTTCTCCTCTATCACATGGGGTCTCTTGAGTCAAAATAGACTCAACGGCAACTAACATCTGTTGAGCACACTGTAGGTGATCAATAGTCTGACTTTCGTTTGTAGCCTGGACAATGATCTTATTGATGATGAAGAGGACATTAATGATGATGATAATTATATTGTTGCTGTTGTTGTTCTGTTGTTGCTGTTGCTGTTAAGTGCCATGGAATCACTATTGTTTCATAGCAAACCTGTATAGGGTTTCTGAGGAGTGGCTGGTGAGCTTGAACCATCAACCTTGTTCAAACTGACCATGCAGTCCAGTGCATTAACCAGCAGAGCCACACCAGTCAGCATTTATTGATCCCTTACTATGTGCCAGGCACAAGGATAAGCATTGTATGTAAATTATCTCTTTGATCTCTTTGAAACTCAGTTATGATCCATAGAGACAGGCATTATTATATCAATTTATGGAGGGGAATACTGAGACTTAGTGTCACCCCAAGAGATTGATTGGCACTGCTGTCTTTGCAAATGTGCACATGGCTGTTTCTCTGTTCCTCCTCTTGTATCCTGAGTTTCAGCTAGTCAAGCTGACACGATTTAATATTCAAAATCCTGGTTCCTTTACCCATACAACCAGTGATTAACCCTCCAAAACCAAATACACTGTCATGTCGATTCTGGATCACAGTGACTCTGTATAGGGTTTCTGAGACTAAACTTTTATAAGAGCAGACAACCTCATCTTTTCCTCATGGAGCAACTGGTGGATTTGAACCACTGAACTTGTAGTTAGTAGAACAATACCTCACCCACAGCACCACCAGAGCTCTTTAGTGTCTGAAAATGTCACTTATCAATTATTTGCTTTTCAGTGGCAAGTTGACCTATGAAGAGAGAAACAGGGTTGATGAGAGCAAGACTTAGTTATGGCACCAATGAGTCATCTGCACTGGTAGCATCCCTCATGACTTCATGGGTCATCTTTGGACTAGCTAATCTTTACAATGTCTTAGTGAAATAGCTAGTTGATGATAGAACCAGGACAAGAACCTACATCTGTTTGACTTGTTGTATGTTCCCTTTATGTTGTTGTGAAGTGCCGTCGAGTTGGTTCCAATCCATACAGACTCTGTATAGGGTTTCCAAGGAGCAGGTGGTAAGCTTGAACCACCAACCTTGAAGTTCAAATGGCTTTGCAGTTGAAGCTCAAATGGCTTTGCAGTCTGGCTCATTAACCCACAATGCCACACCTGGTTAGATAGGGACACTCCTTATTTATTTTTTTTAAGTTTTTATATTGTTGTTGTTGTTGTTATGTGCCAGTTAGTAATTTCGGACTGATTGTGACCCTGTATAGGGTTTCTGATACTGTAACACTTTTCAGTAGCAGAAAGTCTCAATTTTCTCCTTCATAGGGGCTGGTGGGCCTGAATCACTGACCTTGTGGTTTACAGTCCAGTGCTTATACTACAAAGACACCATGCTCAGTGTTTATAGTGTTGTTGTTGTTGTTAAGTGCCATCGAATCAGTTCCGATTCATAGTGACCGTGTATAAGCTCCCAAGGAGCAAATGATGAGCTTGAACCATTGACCTTGTGGTGCAAACTGACTTTGCAGTTCAGCACATTAACCCACAGTGCCACACCAGGTTTATATTGGTAGTGGTGGTCATGTGCTGTGGAGTCGATTCTGACTCATAGCGACCCTGTACAGGGTTTCCGAGGCTGTAAATCTTTACGGGAGCAGAAAGACTCATCTTTCTCCCATGGACAGCTGGTAGTTTTGAACTGCTGACCTTGTGGTTCACAGCCCGAATTGTAACCATTACGCTACCAGAGCTCCTTATATTAACTATTATTAATTAACTAGGAAACACAATATTCTCAGAATACAATGCAGATTGATTTGTATATGTTGTTGCTAAGTGCCGTCGAGTCGAGTCGATTCCGACCCATAGTGACCCATGGCGACCCTGTACAGGGTTCCTGAGGCTGTAAATCTTTACGGGAGCAGAAAGCCTCATCTTTCTTCTGCGGAACAGCTGGTAGTTTTGAACTACTGACACTGAGGTTCGCAGCCCGATTCATAACCACTATGCTATCAGAGAAATCCAGTATTTCTAAGGTAACAGCTTGTACTTCTTCCTACTTCTGATTCATTATCAGGACCTGATTCTTCTTCTTCTTTCCAATAGCCTTCTGCAATCACAGTGAGTGAACCTAAAGGCAGAAATGAGTCTGTGCCTCTTACTCTAATTAGGGAAAAAGGAACGTTTGGGACAGTCACTGTGACTTTTGAGGTAAGTTTATACTGAAGTGACTTCCAAATGATAGTACTTTAGAGTTCCTACTAGATGGCTAGAGTTTTATTAATCCTTTACATAATAAATATGACAATAAAAATAAACATACTTTTATGATTAATGTAAAAATGTTTACTTTGCTATTTTAATATACCTTGCTTTTGTGAACCATAACATACCATTTTGGATTTAGGGTAATAATAAATCACAAAATGTAATAATAATAATAATGATAATTCTAAATAATTCATAAAATCTTTATTGATGAACATTTTCAAGTATATATATATTTAAAATACCCAAGGATTATTTATTGTTGATAAGTTCCATGGACTCAGTTCTGACTCAGTGACCCTGTATAGGGTTTCCAAGGAGGAATTGCAGTTAGCAGTGCAGTGCTTACCTACAGTGCCACACCTGGACTATTATTAAGGTTTATATAAAATTATAGTAAAACCTATAATGCAAACTTGAGTCTTCACCTAAATTTTTGTGTGTGTTAGAAGACCCACTACATGATCATTTATTATTTTGGAAGATTAGAAAATTTGGGTACCAGTTTCTTTCTTAATAATTGTAATATCACTAAAATAGACATTTGGAATTATGTTGCATAATTCTGTTAACACACAAAACCTGTTTTCTCCATTGAAAGAATGTTGTTTATTGGTCCAGTTGTGAGGATTTTTGTGTTCTTTCCATTGAGATGCAATCCATACCAAAGGCTGTGGTCTTTGATCTTCATCAGTAAGTAGTGTAA